GGTTTATAACAAGGCCCTGGAGTGGTCTAGAGAGTCAGGGACGGGTCCTCTGAGGCCACGGCATTAAGCCAAGGCCGAGAGCCAGCAGGAGTTATCCGGGCAGAGGGCCAGGGTGGAGGAGTGATCCATGTGAGGGGGAGGCATGGGGCTGAGGAGCTGTGAGCAGCAGGCTGGGAGGGAGGGAGGGAGGGAGAGGGAGGCAGACAGGGCTGCAGCCTGGGATCGACCAGTTTTAATCAGCAGCGTGTTACAGACATGCCATGGAGGCCTGTCAGGAGGGATCAGAAGCACCACGGAGTGGCACGTCCCCACCATTAGAGGAAGCGTTAGAAACGGAGCGGCCGCCTGTGTTACAAACAGTCCCAGTGTGGCCTGTAGGGGTGTGGAAAGTGCCCGCTTTCCCTTAGAATCCACAACAAGAGCCAGGAGACATTATCCCATCGCGGGGGCTGATGGGCAGTCTGCGTGGCCGGGGCGAGGAAGGGCCGCGGGCAGTGCACCCACCTCTCAGAGCAGAAAGGACCATCTACAGGAGAGGCCCCGAGTCTGACTCCCAGGCCCTCACTGCCCAGCTGGGTGACTCTGGGTCCATCACCTAACCTTTCTGTGGCTTAGTTTCCTCCTGCAACGGGGGCATGTTGCCCTGGCTCATTTGGCTCAGTGGATAGAGCATCGGCCTGCAGACTGAAGGGTCCCCGGTTTGATTCCTGTCAAGGGCACATACCTTGGCTGCAGGCTCAACGCCCCGGGCCCAGTCAGGGCACATGTGGGAGGCAACCGATCAATGTGTCTCTCTCACATCAGTATTTCTCTCTGTCTCTCCCCGACCCCTCCACTTTCTCTGAAATGGAAAAATATCCTCAGGTGAGGATTAACAAAAACAAACCAAACAAAAAAGGGGGGCGCGTTCATAACGTCTGCTCCACAGCCTCGCCGAGAGGATTAAGTAGGTTAACATGTTCCAGGTGCTCAGAACGCCGTCTGGCACAAAGTGGCACAGAGCAAGGCCGGTGTGTGGGAGGTGGTGAGGGAGACTGCAGGACTGGCTGCCGGAGGAGTCAGCACCGTGGACAGCGCACAGGGAGTGAGCCAGCGCCCTGGGCAGCTTGCTGCTGGGAGTGGGGTCAGCACCGTGGACAGCGCACAGGCACACTCAGAGCGGAGGAGGCTGACCCGCCTGGCCTTGGAGAGGCCTCAAAGCAGCAGGGACGGGCTGTCACGGTTTAACAACAGGTTTTCTGAGCGGAAAACTGATGGGGATTCGGACTTGGGGCATTTCTGAGTAGACGCTCCCCCGTTTCCCCCTCTGTACAGCGGCACTGCGGGAGCATGAAAAGAGGCACCTGTGAGTGGAGACCGTGGTCATGGAGTAGGTCGTGCGTCTACGGCACATCAGGCCCTGTACTCGCCGGCTCCACCCGCCCAGCCCCGGCCCAGAGGCATAGCCCACTGGCTGGATGGGGGCAGCGAGGCTGGGTGACTGAAGCGGGTGGGCCCGGGGCTCTCCTAGCAGGCGGAGGGGCCTTAGTGGGTCCCCTCCATTGTTCCCTCAGGCTGTGCCGGAGCCTTGGCGCCTCTGCCCTGACTGCTGGCCCACCACTCAGCCTCGCTTCGGGATCTGCTCAGGAAACAGGAATTAGACATTATTCCAGACTGAGGGCTGGTGCAATGCCAGCTTCCGCCAGGAGAAATCACTCAGGGAGGAGGGGCGGGGGGAAAATCAATGGAGCCATCTTTGCCATCCTCCGGTGCTAAACTTAAAGCAAAATTTCCTCAGCTGAGGCCGCCTGTGCAACCTGTTACCTTTAAGACGCATCGCACTCGAGAAAAATCACCCAGCGCTGCCCAACGGTCTCAGAATGTTGGTACTGAAGGATGTGAGCGGTGGTTTAAAGAGATGTGGAGATGGCATCGGGGAGAAACACACAATGAGAGAACCCGCAGGAATTCGGAGAACGAGCTGTAACCACCCCGGGGGCTGTTGAAGAGGGAAGATGCTGCCAGCCACCGGCTGGGGCCCAACTAGTGACTGACTCCTTTTTTCCTTACAAACGTGCTCACGTTAAGGAATTTGGCCCAGTTTACATTCGTGTGAACAGACGGCCCAGGACGTTAAGCAGTGAACCGAGCCCAGGGGTCCAGATCCCAGCACCCAGGCTGCTCCTCTGTAGAGTCTGGGACCCGAGCACCCTGGAGCCCAGACTCACAGGGGGGAGTCTCCACCCCAGGACCAGGTGGACACTGTGAGCCTCCTCACTCCACTCAGAACCATTCACAAGTACCTACTATGTGCGGGCCCTGCAGAGAGGGCGCCGACTGGGCTCCTAACCCCCAGGGTGTCACTGGAAATGGGGGCGGGGGCATATTAACAGGTGAGGGAAGCCCAGTGTGATGCCCAGTGTGACAGGGAGGGGGGCCCAGAGGGGCTCTGACCAGCCTGGGAGGGATGCAGAGTGGACACGGCACAGGTGACCGAGCACAGGGGGCAGACAGGAGCCAGCCTGGCTACGAGAGGGAGAAGGCTGGTCAGCGAAGGGCCAGCAGAAGGCAGAGCACTGGCCCGGCCCTGTGACAGGCAGGGAAGCCCGGGGGCCTGAAGGGGTGGGCCAGCCTGGCGCCCAGGACCCCGGGGAGGTGGGCAGGGCCAGTCACCAAGCGCCATAGGACACTGCTGAGTGGTTCGGACTTTGTCCAGAAGCCGATGGGAAGCGGCTGAGAGCTTTCGGCAGGGGCTGACGTGGTCAGCCACTCTCACTGCGGTGGGCTGGCTGGCTGGCTGGGCAAGGAGGGATGCGGGCCACGGCCAGGCAGGGCTGGGTGGCCCGAGCTGAGCCTCTGGCGGGATGGAGAGCAGCACACGGTTCCAGAGCCATCGGGGGAGGACGGAAGGGCCTGCATCCTTTCCATTCTGTGGGCGAGGGAGAAGGAAGCTGGGGGACCTGTATGACGGTCAGCCTCAGTGACAGATTACGGCACGCACCTGCGTGTGCCGGGGGCACGGCAGAGGCTCAGGGCCCTCCCTCCGATCAGAGCAGCGGCTCTGGAATTCACCAGAGAAAGGCCTCTGAGTCAGCTCTTCTTCAAATGGTCCAAACGTGCCCACTCTTCTCCGTGATGAGAAAAGCGTTCCTCTCTCTGGAAAACCTTCGCTAAAAATTAATTCTGCGTAAGTGGGAAGTGTTCCTGTTTGGACACAGGAGACGGTAACGCAGCAAAAAACTCCCAACGGCCTGAGGACTAAACAGCAGCCTCGGGACAAGGCGAGACGCCGCAGAACCGGAGTTAGAGGGACGGAGGCCCCAGGCCCAGGTCCCCCGGGGGGTACGTGCTCAAAGAGTGTCTCAAATGCAGAGCAGGTGCCCAGCTCAGCCAGTCACAGCTTTCTGAACCCCCCAACCTCACTCCCCACTGGAAAGGAAACACCTTTCTCATCGCTCGGCTGCTATGGGACCCATCGCCCCACCTGACACCTCCCGGCCAGCGGAGGCGGCTCCATGGACAGCCCGGTCTCCCCGTGTTCTCGCTGGTGGTCGAGCAGCAGCAGGCCGCACGGAGGACCACACGCAGCCTGACTCCCCGATGAACCGGTCGATCAGGGGAGGTCTGCACAGCCACCGCGGGCTGGAGACTCCATCGCTCCTCCGTCTGCAGAGCTGGCACCTAGGTCTACAGGGAGGCTGCCGGAGCCCCGCTCTGCAGCTGGCAGGCGATGCCACGTGCGCTCCTCCACCCCCAAGGCCTGGACGCTTCTCTATCTGATCAACTAACAATTCAGTTTCACAAATCAGGCTACACACAGGCAGGATCTGCAGCCAGGGAAGCCCCCCAGGTCCCACGGGGATCCCAATCCCCAGATGCTCCCTTCCTGCCACCAGCCCTCACCTCCTCAGCTGACTAAGGTCCTGGGGTCAGTGATTATTTCCACTCGTTGCCTTCACCAGCAGCCCCATGTCCGCCTGTGCACTTGGCAAAACCGCTGCCCTGGCTCTCTCTACCCACCCCGCGCCTGCAGCCTGGCGAATCGTGGCCGGAGAAAAATGCGCCCGTGTGCTCTCTGGCCCACTCGCTCCCACAGCACCGCCCGCCTGCTCGCTGCTCGCCTGCTGGATGCTCCCCTCGCTTATTGCATCGACGGTTTATGTCCGCCTGCTGCAGAGGGGCAGCGGGAGCAGGGCCTCCTGCACTCCATCTGGGCCCCGTCCCTCACAGAGCAGCCTGGTGTCAGAGTTGGAAACGAGACTCGGGGTCCGGAGGTGCGACACCTGCTAGGAATGGGCTCTGAGCACGTTCACTTGGGCTCCCGGTGCCTCAGTTTCCTCATCTGTAAAGGAGGATCGTGGCCGTACCTACTTCACGGGGTTGTTGTGGGGGTGAAATGAGTTAATATTAACAAGTGTTAATGCTACACAAGAGCGTCACTGTAATTATTGTTATTATTATCAGTCTTCAGAGCAGGGACAGCTTAGCAACCAGCCTGCTCTCTCCACTGCAGCCCTTCCCCAGGCCCAGGCTCGTGTATGGACAGTTCATTCCACACCAACTGGTGGGCGCTGGACTCAATCCTCTCGCCCCTAGCTTGTCCAGACACAGAGAGCCACAAGCAGGGCCCCCGACTCCGTCCGGCTGGGCTTTTGACACCCCAGTTGTCACTCTAAGCCCCGGGTGGGACCCCAGCGGGGAGGGTCCAGAGGAGCCTTTGGTGGACGGTCTCAGGAGGATCAGCTGTCCCTCCTCTGGGAGGAGTGACCCCAGGACCTTATCTCCTCCTTCGTCCCTGGTGAGGTCCCAGGGTGAGGCGAGGGGTCAAATGTGACCCTCACAGCCGTGGTTTTAGTGCTCATAAATTCTCAGCATGGGCTCGTGTCCGCGCGCCATTCACACACCGGACTCACCGAAGCCGAACGAAGCAGAGCCCCCACGCCAGTTCGCTTACAAGCCAGCCAGCCAGCCCACCCAGAAGCCACCGCGGAGACGCCGGCGGCTGCGGCGGGAAAGGATACTGAAGCTCCGGTCGGTGATGGCCAGGTGCCAGAGGTTGATGCGCAGGTCGTCGGCCGACATGTACGTCTCGCAGTCGCTGTTGACGGAGATGGAGTTGATGTGGTAGGTGTGGCCATTGGCAAAGACCCTCCGTGGGCTCACCTCCACCATCAGGTCCATGGGCTTCAGCACGGGCACCTACGAGGAGGAGGGCGGGTCAGAGCAGGGCCATCTGCCGGGGGCCGGCCGCCGGGGCCAGGCAGCCACAGCGGGGCGTGCACCAGTGGGCATCCATCCGCACGTGTTGAAATAAGCAGTGCACGTGGCCAATGTCCTTCACCACCGGCCCTGCAGGAAAGCCCACCTCCTTCTCTTGGCCTCCCGGGGTTGGTTCTGAGCCCACCATGTGACTCTGAATAAGTGACTGAACCCCTTCGCACCCCAATTTCCTCATCTCTCCAATGGAATGAGAAGGTACCATGGCAGAGTCAGCTGACTGTCCACCAAACATTTGCATCCCTTCTACCAGGAAGTGACAAGTGGCTGCCCAGAGAAGGACTACACTTCCCAGCTACCTTTGCATCTGGGTGTGGCCACATGACTGGTTCTGACCAACGGACTGTGAGTACAGTGATGCCTGGCACTGTGGGCCAAGGTGGTTAAGAGGCAGGTGTGCCTTCTCTTTTTTTTCCCTTTTTTAAAATATATTTTATTGATTTTTTACAGAGAGGAAGGGAGAGAGATAGAGAGTTAGAAACATCGATGGGAGAGAAACATCGATTAGCTGCCTCCTGCACATCTCCTACTGGGGATGGGCCCGCAACCCAGGTACATGCCCTTGACCAGAATCAAACCTGACCCTTCAGTCCACAGGCCGACACTCTATCCGCTGAGCCAAACCAGCCAGGGTGAGAATGACATTTCTGTGTGCTCTGCCCTGCAATGCGGGGTCATCTGTTAGAGCCATCAGTGTGAGCCTCACTCATACAAACTCCCACCGCGGGCGTGTGAGGACCCCTGAGACAGCATCAGATGCACGCCTCTGCTTCCCTTCGTGCTCTCTGCCTGGAACGCTCCCCCCCGCTTGGGACAGCTAGTGAACCCCAACTCCTCCTGCAGGATCTGGAGGCAACAGCCCCCCAGAGGTGCAGCTGCCCTGGTAGGTAGGGCTGGCACACCCCCCGGACACACCCAGCACAGGGCCCACATCTCTGTCAGGGCTCAGCATACACTGCTGTGTGTCACTCCAGGAAACTGTGAGGTTTCAAAGGTGTGAGGACAGACAGACAGACACAAAGGCCTGGCCTGGGTTCGGTGCCCAGGAAATGGGGCTGGCATTGCCATCCCCACATCACCGGTGAGAGGACTGGATGCCAAGGTGAACCCAACTTGCCCAAGTCACGGGGTCAGGAAATGAGAGTCGGGCCAGGAAGCTGGGGTGACTGCCCCTGAGGGTTCCTTGTGCAAAGGTGCAGACAGACCTGCCTGCAGCTTCACAACCTGCCCTGCCACTCACTAGTGTTACCTTCACTGGGTAACATCTCAGGCCTCAGTTCCCTTTTCCGTAAAGGGGGTGAGGCTGGCGCCCGCTCAGGGCTAATGCAGCGAGTCCTCGGGCAGTGCTAGGCGGGAGGAAAGACCCGGAGCGGGGAGCAGTTTGTCTGCGAGCTGGGGCCAGGCGCTCACCCCACCCAGCCCAGGCAGCTCAGAGCAGCCCACACTCGCAGCTGAGAAACAAACTGAGGGAGACGGCATTTCATGTGACAGGAACGAGCCTTTCCAATTCTGCTAGAACGGCCCGGCCGGCGTGGCTCAGTGGTTGAGCATTGACCTATGAACCAGGAGGTCACAGTTCGATTCCGTTAGGGCACATGCCCGGGTTGCGGGCTTGATCCCCTGTAGGGGACTTGCAGGAGGCAACCAATCAATGATTCTTATCATTAATGTTTCTCTCTCTCTCTCTCTCCCTCTCCCTTCTTCTCTGAAATCAATAAA